AGTTCTCCTTTTTCTGGTTTTTCAGGAAGGGCACACGGTGGAGTGGTGAGAATACAGTGTTTGGAGCTGCATGGGCTGTGGCCTCAAATCTCAGCTCCATCAATTCCTACTTATGTGTGACTTGAGAATCTGAGCAAGCCTCAGCCTCAACCTCTAAAAACCCTTATTTCCACATCTGGCCCCCATACGTGTAAGTAGAAAGAATCTGGGGCAGCGAGGTGGTGAAGTGGATAGAGCACTGGCCCTGAAGTCAGGAGGACTGGAGTTCAAATCCCGACTAAGGCCAGACACTTGACCACTTGACCCTTACTAGCTGCTTGACCCTGGGCTCGCCTTGAAAAAAAAAAGAATCTATCCATTCCCTAACTCTAGTTTCTTTTATAGAAGTGACTCAAATCCTTCTGTTAATGCTCCCCCTTTTTTTTCCATTTAGTCCTGTCTTTGTAGGTTATGTTATTTTAGAGAAACATCATGAGCTCTTTTTTTTAAAAAATAAAATCCTATTTCAATCTCTTTTCTCATTTCTTATATACGTAGAGTAATCCTGGCCTATATGATTGACTTTCTTCCAAAATCAAAGGTATTCTGGCTGCTTGCAAAATCTGTTGTTTGCTACATGCTTCAAAGTTCCAAGCATCAAGTTTTTCTCAGATAGCAATCTATAGATTCAATCAATCAGTACTTTGTCATTTGTATTCAAATTTCCTAGTTTTTTTTATTTCATGTAGCATAGTATTCAGATATTTAAATTTATCCTTTTTTTTCCCCTCTGGGAGACATATAGTGTTTTACATTGTCCCCCCAAATACTGTCTTCAAGACAGTTCATTTTGCTTGTGTAGAATTCATGTACTTTCTAAAAAGTTGTCTTTTGCTGCTCTTCTAGCAAATTTTCTTCCCCTTCTGTACTTTTGAACTCCAAATCTGTCCTTTTTCAGGGCCTCTCCTACTTTGGAAAGATTCTCCATTCTGATTTCTAAGTTATCTACGCTGTTGTCTTTTTTTCTGATTTCCAACCAAATTTCAAATTTCTTATTAGCTTGGAATGTAAATATGAAAGTAATGAAATTCTTACCCTCAATAAGCTTATATTATGATAAGCAGAGACAACACATATAGGGAAATGATGGCCAGGGAAGGCAGTTTCAGTCTGAGAAGTTACAGGAATGGCAAGCTGATCGATAGGGTAGCTGATTAATACCTCCTTTCTAGAAGCTCAAGTATTATTGATTCGATTACTGTGCCCCAGAGCACTGGGTAGAAATCTAGGGGTTGGAGGATACATGTACAGTGATAGGACAGAATGCAAAAAGGCCTGTGCAGAGAAGTGGATGGGAGGTGAAGCATGGCCTGGTCTAGGGCTGGCAAGTTATAGTGGACTGAACTAGGTGAATTTGTATTCACTCACCAATAAAGATAGCTCAAGGCTGAAGGTGGGTAGAGTGAGTGGGAACTAAAAGTATGTCAGCACTGCAACATCATTTCATGAAGATTTCACCTTGTATTATGTCTCCCCTATCTTGATGATCTAATTTAAACTCCAGTAGGTTTGGGCACATTTCTCTTTGTTTCGAAGTGATTAGGTTGGAGGAGTTGTACTGAAAAAAAAAAGGTTCTGCCATCTCGTTGATCACATTATCTTCATGTTGTATCTTCAGAATTCTATTATCAAGACTTTCCCTTCTTTAAGGTATAGGATCCTACCTATCATTTCTCCAGACTCTTTGAAATCTGCTTTCCAGAGTCTAGGGTGCATGTCAGATTGCCTGACTTTCCTCTTTTCTCTTGTGAGCCTTGGCTCAGAGAGTTAAGTGACTTGTCTGATGGTCACACATCAATTAATTATCCAAGAAAGGATGTGAACCCAGGTTTCTCCTGACCTGCTCCTGTACTGCTTCCACTAGACCACATTGATTCTTCAAATCCAAATCCTGTTCTCAGCCATCATCTGTTAAATCAGCTGCTCATTTCTCAAATCTATCTCTCCTGAAGCTCTTGCCTTTAATCAGTAGCTATAAAGAAAATACAATTCATGACCCTAAAGTCTTCACAATCTTAATGCACAATTTTTTTTAAAAAAAGATCTAGGGATTTTAGTGGACTCTAAGTTCAATATAGGGGCAGCTAGGTGGATAGAGCACTGGACCTGGAGTCAGGAAGACCTAAATTCAAATCTGGTCAGACACTAACTAGCTGTTGACCTTGGGCAAGTCACTTAATCCTGTTTGCCTCAGTTTCCTCATCTGTAAAATGAGCTGGAGAAGGAATGGCAAATCACTCCAGTATCTTTGCCAAGAAAACCCCAAATGAGGTCATGAAGAGTTGGACATGACTGAAATGACTGACCAACAAAAAAGTTCAATATGAGTTAGTAATGTGATACAACAAGAAAAAACCTAGCACAATCTTGGGCTGCATTAAATGAGGTAGAGCTAAGAAAAAGCAAATCTAAACAAATGAGGCTTCATTTCAGTCTAAAAAAAAATTTGAAAAGATGACAAAAGATGGGAATAGTCAACGCTGGAGAATTTGGGAAAGACTGGCATACCCATTCAATGTTGGAGCTGTGAATTGGTTAAAAACCATTCTGGAAAGCAATTTTGAATTATGAAAGTCGAGTGACTAATGTCCACACCATTCTCCCCAGAGATTCCTCTGCTCTCACTGAAAAGGAAGGTCCCAAATAAATGTTGTTGCTGTCTTCCTGACTCCAGTCCCAGCACTCTATCCACGGCACCAGCTAGACGCACATCCCGATACATACCAAAATATTTATAGTAACATTTTCTGTAGCAGCAAAGCACTAGGAACAAGGTATAGGCCATGGGTTGGGGAAATGGATAAACAACTTGTGGTGCATCAAGGTAATACAATATTACTGTACTGTAAGAAATGACCAATGTGAAAGACGCATGGAAACACACGAACCGATGTCAGCAGAGCCAAGAAAACATAACACAGAGTAACTACAACAAGGTAGCGGGAAAGAACAATCACCACGAAACAACCAAAAATCAATATTGCAAAATTAGACAGAACCAACGGGGCTCCACGGAAGAGATTTAAGAATACACCTCCTCACTCCTTTGCAGAAGGTGGGGGAGGGGGGAAGGAGGAGTGGGCCACAGAGATGCAATATATATTGCATATATTTCAGATTTTTTTCAACGTATTGATCAGTTTTGATGACTTTCTCTTCCTCTTTTTTTTTTTCTTTTTAAAACAAGCTTTGTTCAAAGGGATGTTTGGCTCTCTGGGAGGGAGAAGGGGGAGGAACATAGGTCGAAATTTAGGCTACATAAAAACAAGCTATCAATAAAAATATTTTTAAAGCTTGGCCCCAAAGAAGAGATATGAGAAAATGTCTCCTTCCCTTCCTCTTTTCCCCTTCCCTCTCCTTTGCAGAGTTCAGGATCCATGAGTATGAAACAATATTGCTAATACTGGATTTTCTTTTTGTTTTGCTGAATAATTTTGCTGGGCTTTTTTCTTCTTCCTCTTTAAAAACAAATCTTTGTGATAAGGGATGACTGTCTGAAAGAGGGGTGGGAAAGAGGAATAATACAGGGAGAAATTTAGGTGACATCAAAATGGAAAATACAGCCATAAAAATCTTATTTTTTTTTTTAAGACATAGTTTCCAGGAACAGAAACGACATTCTCACTATACTCTGCCCACATCAGACTTCAGCTGGAGCATTGTGTTCAGTTCTGGGCATCAAGGTTTAAGAAGAGCACTGAACTGTTGGGTTTCTGAAGGAAAGCCATTAGTATGGTAGAGGGCCTTGAGTCCATGTCATAGGAGGATGAGCAGAGCAAGAAGACAGAACCAAAATCGATGACTGCAAGTCACAGAAAGGCCAATTGAGCTTGACGTCAGGAAAATCTCCCTAACAGTGAAAGCTGCCCAGAAGGGGAATAGGTGGGCTGCCCTTCCTTGGAGGTCCTCAAGCAGAGGCTGGCTGAGCACCTTGACTGGCATTTCTTTTAGGTTGAACTAGATGGCTGCTAAGCTCTTTTCCAGCTCTCAAATTCTTTGATTCTGTAATATGTTAGAATAAACAAGTTTAAAATCTGAATGCTGGAGTCTCAAGAAGAAGCATGCTGATTAAATTAATTCAGTCATTTCTTAGAAGACTCCTAACACTGAGGAACTTCATGTTTATATCCAGCATGGCTGGACTCTGATTAAACATTTTTCTGCTTTCATTTCAGACAATTGCATCCTGAACATTTCTTCTGCCCATACACATGCATGTTTCTACAGCACGTCTTAAACTGTGGGTTGCAACCCCATAGGGATCCCAACCCACAGTTTAAGAAGTGCTAAAAGGGCCCTGAATGGAAAAAAATTGAGGAAGCCTTGGACTGAGAAACTTGCATGAGTGAACAGGCAGATATGGCACTTTGTACTCTAGGATGGAAGCTTCCTTGGGCCTGGAATGAAGCAATTCCTTATGTAAAAAAGGTATCCTTTTCCCTTCGTTCGAAGACAGTGTGGTACAGCATTTGAAAGAGCACTGGCTCCCAAACGGGGGTCCGAGTCCAAATTCCACCCCTGGTCAGGCTGCTCCTCCCTGAATCTCAGCCAAACTTCATTCACCTCCTGGTTCTGCTTCCAACCTTCCACAGCAGGCCCCCACATGTCTTCTTCCCCCCTCCACCTCCCTCCGCTGTCAGATCCTTTTTGTGTTACTGTCTTCCCCCATTAAAATAATTTCTCCGAAGACAGAAACCATCTGGCTTTTTGCTCCTGTTTGTGTTTCCAGTGCTTAGCACACAGTAAGCACTTACTTATTGCTTGGTTTGCTTTGCCTACCAAGAGGTCTTGGAGAAGCCAATTAACCTTTCTGGGCCTCAGTTTCCTTATCTGTAAAATAAGGGTGTTGGACTGGATGGCTGGCCTCCCAGGTCCCTGCCAGCTCTTGACCTATGGTACCCAAATACCTTGTTAGACAAAGATGCCAGAAGGATTAGCAAGTAAGAGCTAGGTAATGAAAAGTCATTCAAGTTTATTGACATAAATAGGGTGATAAAAATACAGCTTAGTCCCTGCCAACAGGGTTGACATATCACACAATGGAAATCATTGGGAAGGGGAGACAAGAAGAGTATTTCCAAAGATAGCAAGACAGCTGCTTCTGGTTCAGATCCAGGAGTAGCAGTAACCTTCCCCCACTGCCCAGGGACCCACTCCACAGAATGAGGTTATTAATTCATTACAAGCAGCCAGAGGCAGACAGTCACAGAATGGCAAGCTTTAAAAAATAAGAAGTCAAGTGAACATCTATCATCAGCACAGACTTAATGGCATTCTCTATCATTGGAAACAGCCAGGAAGCACAGCTGGCTCTGGGAAGGAAAGGGACCACCGCAACCCTGTCCTCTCTGCTTGGAGGGTCTTCAGCACTTGAAAGACCTACCCTGCTCCTCAAGCCTAAATTAGCATTTAGTGTTGAGTCATCAGAATCCTGAAGATGTTTTGCTCCTTTCCCCGCTTCTACAACTGCCCTGAACTGGGTCTGTCTCTCCCGAAGGTTGCTCACCTGAAGCCGCTCTTCCTCTTCCTCCTCGCTAACTAGCCTGCCCACCGGACTGCCAGAGTGCCTACCAGCCCACCACCGGAGGGTCATTTCTTTGGCTTCAACATTGCCCTTTTTAAGGTCCTCTCTTCAGATGCAACATTTAATCCACAAACAATTATGAAGCAAGTACTGCTGCAGGGTACTGACTCAAATAAATCCTCACTTGAGTATCCAATTCTCTAAGTATAAGTGCCCACTATGTGTGTGGCACTATGGTAAGGATACAAAAATAGGAGGAAAAAAAAACTCCCTTCCCCCCACCCCACCCCAAAATGCCCATTCTATTGGGAATTCAATCTTTATCTAGGTAAGTAACTAAGGGGAGAGTGGGATGAGCGAAGGCTTCCCATACAAAGTATCCCCTGAGATGAGCCTTGAAGTGACAGAAAATAAAGAAATGCTCAAAGGAGAGAAAAAGATGATCATGTGATCAGGAGGGGGCCTCAGAGGATGCTAAGTTAGTCCAAGCAAACTGAGGTCCCAGGGAGTGAAATGATTTGCTCGGGGGTCGCACAGGTCACTGTGAGTCCTAAAGCTGGGCTTTCACTGGGCCAGGCCATGCTGCTTCCCTGAAAGAACAAGGGCGGGGGCAGGGAAGGGTCAAGGACAACAAAGGCAAATAAATCATCATCATTGTGGCAAAGTCCATCAGAGCTGCCAGTCTGGCCCAAGGGTTCAACACCTGGTCTCTTTCCACTAGGAGCAGCTAATACTTGAAAGGGAAGCCAAGAACACAAGTGGACCCTGGAGAAGGTAGAGGGGCTGAGTAAGGGGGACTCCAAAGTCCTGCACAGAGACAGCAGCGTGCCTAGGAGGAAGACAATGGGGCTTAGAGTGAGAGAATGTGGATCTGGTCCTGGCAGAGCCGATCGCTGGGCCTGTTACCAGGAGGGTTTACCTCTGATTAATGAGACTTGCAGAAGTATCTGCCTTCAGGGTTGGGATAAGTGTATTGTTAACTGTAAAAATACTATTGTTATTATTGCCATCTTCTGTTCCTTTTGACTGGCTTAAGGCATAACTGCTGTCATCGAGGGGGCCTCTTCCCACCATGTTCTCCCCCACTGGGAGAGAGGAAACAACGGTCTACTTCTGCCCACTTAATACACATTGATTCAAAACCATGCCCTTCCGAGATGGTCTTTGAGTAATATCTAGGTAACAAATATTGGCATCCAATTAACCGAGGTTTTTTTAATGTCAGGTAAGAAAAAAATCTTGTTGTAGGGTGGATATTTGTAGGATTAATGTAAGAGAAATATGAGGGTTTCCATTTCTGAGATGCTCAGTCAGAGTGCCGTCCAAATGAGTGGCCTGAAAGAGCACTGATGGCCCATGAACTGTCTGGAAAGGCAGGTATGGCGCGGGGAAGCTCTTCCTTCATCTGGAAAAGGTCAGTGCAGACCCCCCAGGTCTCTTGTACCCTTCTTCCTGGGTCCACCACTAATCCTGTTAATTAAGAGACGAGCATCACTCTTTGAGCTTATCGCTGCTGCTCTAAACAGTGGCACAATTCTGAATCACTGACTACTGATTCAGCAGAACTAGGGAAAAACCCTGGCTACCCACCCACTCGGCTCAGATTAAGACACTCCCAAGTTCCATCACCAACCTCAGAGCAAAGATCTGTTCTTCTACAAGAAAAGGGGAATCCATTGTTTAACTCAAAGTACATCAAAAAGACAATTTAGAAGAACAGCTGCCTGGTCCCAGGAAGCCAACCAGATCATGGATTACGGAGCAGAGGCTGGGGGGGGGGGGGACAAGAAAGAGTTCCCTAACGGTTGAGATACTAAGTGACTACAGATGCTCCTGCAACGCCGGGCTTGGGGAGGACTCATTTGGCAGGAGTGGTCTCTGGCCCGGCTGCTTCTGTGGCCAGGGATGCTGAGGCAGTGGGAACAGTCTCTGCAAGGGGAGATTCTGGTGGGCTGGGGGCTAGGGCAGGTGCTACTGGAACCGGGTGCTGCTGCAGGTACTCCAGATACTCCTGCATCCAGGGATACTGCTGTGACTGCTTGTGCAGCTGGCGGAGGTACTCGAGCCAAAGCTGCCTCTCCGGCTGCTGTCCTCTCTTCAGGGTCTGGAGCCGGGAGGGCGTGCTCTGGGGGGAGCTTCCCCAGGACTGGGACTTTAAACAGGGATGAGACTCCACAGTCAGGCCAGGAGGCTGAAGCCAGGCTTCTGGGCTCTCGGAAGCCTCCTTGGTCAGTCCCGAGGCTGTCGCCACTGTCTCTGGGAAGCCAGGTCCGTCCCCAAGGGTCGCCTTTGTCACCTTAGACGAGGGGAACCGGGATCTATTTGGCCAAGCTAACGTGGTCTCTGGGAGGCTTTCCTGTGGGACTTGGCTGGGAGCTGAGGTCTGAGGACTTTTCAAACCATGAACCAAGGAGCTCTGCTCTCCCTGGCCCTGGGACTGTCCGGATAAATTCAAACCTTCCTTTTCTTTCAGTTGTCTCGATTGTTTGGCTCTTCGGTTCTGAAACCAATTCTAAAAGGGGAAAGAAAGAAATCGTATAAAGTCCACTGAGCTAGATTTTTTCTTCTCTTAAGAACAGCAGGTTTTAGGGAAGGAAGGGAGGAAGAGTAAAGGAAGGGAGGGAATAATGGGAAAGGAGAAAGGGAAGGAAAGAAAGGAAGGAATTATATAGTGCTAAGTACTTTACAAATACTGTCTCAGTTGATTTCATTTAAACCAGTTTGATTAACAGGAGCTTTGGTAAGACATGACCACTCCAGCACAAATTTTTAAAATTACTTTTATTACTTTTAAATCACTAAAAAGATAATTCTGAGGAGGGGTTCACAAGCTTCACCGGGCACTCAAAAGGGTGAAGAGCCCCTGCTCTGGAAATAGAGCCTATCCACAGATTTAGGTGTTTTATGGCATTCACAGGTATATTGTACAGTGCCTTGCACCCAGTAAATACTTACTAAAAGCTCACTGAAAAGCAAAATGACCTGCACGTCTGGAGAAGTAGCTCTGTGCTGGAGAGGGCACTGGGCATAGAGTTAGGCAAACCAGAGTTCCAATCCTGCATCAGACCCTGGACAACTCATCTGGCCTCTCTGTGCCCCAGCATACGCCCCTTAAAATGGCGCGGCTGACTTCCTAAGGTGCCTCCCAGCTCCATATCTATTGTCCTGAGATCATAAAGCCTTTTATCAATGTGAGGCCACAGTCTACGTAAAGCGTTTCACAGGCCTTGTGGTGCTACCAACAGGAGGTGGCTGGGCAGGAGTCAAGCGGGGCACTCGCTGTTGCAGAGCAGGAATCAGGGAAGGTTCTGTGGATGAGGCGGTGCTCCAACTGGGCTCTGAAGGAAACCAGGAGATCTAAGCAGTTGGCTTGAGGATGGAGAGGTACCGAGGCAAAGTACCGCACTGGCCCAACCCCAGGCCCAAGCTGGCTTGGACGAAGGCAGAGTGCGGTCAGTAACCCTGCCCGTGGTGCGAGGGCACAACCCAGCTGGCTTCTGGGGGGACACAACCACGGCGAGCAGAAACATGGGAACAGCTGCCAGCGGATCTTGCAGAGTAAGAGGCATCTGTGGTCAGGGGCTTAAAAAAAAGCCACCCCCACCCTTCAAGTCCAATGCATATGGTAGGAAGGACAGAAAGAAAAGAAATTCAGCAAAAGCACAAATCATAATTACCAACATTTCCACAGCACTTTAAAGCTCACGGAGCACTCTGTATTGCTGTCAACAGCCCCACATGGGAGATACTACAGGTATGAATCCCCATTTACAGATGGGGAAACTGAGGTGAAAAAGGCCTAATGACTTATCTGTGGTCATACAGATAATGACAGAGGCAGGATATGAACCTAGATCTTCCTGACACCCAGGCCACCCATCTAGAGGGGTATTTACCCATATATTTATTCCTGGTTTTTAAAAGAATTAATACACAGTCTTAGAGGCAAGCAAGGTGGTACTGGGCTAGAGTACTGGGCCTAGAGTCAGGAAGACCTGAGTTCAAATCCAGCCTCAGTCACTTAGCAGCTGTGTGACCCTGGGCAAGTCACTTGCCTCAGTTTCCTCAACTGTAAAAGGGAATAATAATTGCACCTACCTCCCAGGGTTGTTGTGAGGACCCAATGAGGTATCTGTAAAATGCTCGGCATACAGCAGGCACACCTTGTAAATGCCTACTCCCTTCCCATTCCCCAGACTTCTGCTCTCTCTAAGAACAAGAACTTCTCCTCCCCTCTCCTGCATCCCCGGAACGAACCCAAATAAACTTTGGTCACGGCTCAGGGGTGCCTGCTATACAGTCAGAAGAGGCTGGAGAGCTTGATCCCTTTTCTTCTTTGACATCACTCTTCTTTACTAGAAGGCCCAAGTCCTAACTCTACAACTTCTACTTATGTTTACAAATAAAATGCTAGAGGTCACCGATGAGACAGAATAGGGCCCCAGACACAGGGATGTGACTTGGCCACGAGTGACGGCATCACACTTTTGTGAATTTCCACTGAGGGATAAACTGTAAAGCACCAGGAGGCCGTGAGAACGGAGGAGGCTGGGCGTTTCCTCCTCTTTTGCCGGCCTGGACGGCAGCCTCTGGTGAGTCCTTGTTCTTCTGAATGAATCTCTCTTCACCATCTGATAATGGCATCTGGCACTTAGCACTTAACAGATGTCCACTGACCGACTGCTCCTCTTCCTCCCGGACACTCTCCTCTCTCTACGCTGCTCTCTCCTGCTCCTCGGTAGCTGTGGCACAGTGGATAGAATGCTCGGCCTGGAGTCAGGAAGATCTGAGTTCAAATCCAGCCTCAAACACTCACTAGCCGTGTGACCCTGGGCAAGTCACTTCACCTGTCTGCCACAGTTTCTTCATATGCAAAATGGCTGCTAGGGTTGTGAGGACTAAATGAGATAGTATTTGAAAGTTCTTGGCACACAGCAGGCACACTTAATAAATATTTATTGCCTTACCTGGTTTTCCTACCTGGCTGACTTCCTGGCTACATCACCCATATCAGGCCCCCTGACTGTCAGTGGGGGCCCCCTGAGGCCCATCCAGGGCTCTTCCTTTTCCTGACGTGGTCACTTTACGGGCTACCACGGGTTTAATGATCATTTCTATACAGACAGCTCCCAGATCTGCATACATACAGCCTGGTTCTCTTTCCTGAACTCGTCCTTCATCACTCACTGCTCAATGGGCATTTTGAACTGGGTAATGAGCTCACAGGAATCTCAAACTCAATCACTCCCATGTCCAAAGCAGAACTAAAGATATGCCCTTCCTTCTCAACTTCCTTATTACTCCCACAGACACCACCAGCCTCCACAGGTTCACAACCCCAGGACCATCTTCACCTTCACTCTTCACCCCACAACCCCCACAGCCCCTAAATCTGTTGATTTTAGCTCTACAACATCTCTTACATCATATTTTTAAAAGCTGAAGGCAATGCTATGTTTTTGCCTGAGGTGAGTGAAAATACAAATGTCATTCACAGACCCCCCCGAAATCGATTCCCAGACTCCATGTCAAGAAGCCCCAAGGGGGCAGCTAGGTGGCACAGTGGATAGAGCACCAGCCTTGGAGGCAGGAGGACCTGAGTTCAAATCCAGCCTCAGATCAACACTTGACACTTACTAGCTGTGTGACCCTGGGCAAGTCACTTAACCCCAAGTGGGGTTGTACTACTGCTTTGCTATAGTGTTTTGTCACTTTATCTTCCCTACTAAAGAGGATAAGTGATCCAGCCTCATATGCCAAGAGAAAGGCAAAGTATACTGAAAACACAGATAAACGAAGTAAGACCATTTGTCCATGCTTGAATGGAAAGAAATCTTTTCTCTCCCCTTACACTCACAATGGCAATTTTTGGCTAAAAGGATTCCAAAACCTAGCAACAGAGTGAGTGTGTCTGTGTGTGCATGTGTGTGTGTGTCTGTGTGTGTCTGTGTGTGTGTGTCTGTGTGTGTGTCTGTGTATGTACTGTCTAAGGACCAGCCCAGCCCAGTCAAGCTTGGAGAGTCTTGCTACCAAAGGACCTGACCAAGTGATGTTCTGTGTCATAGTTTTAGTTTTGGGGGGAGAGGCAACAGCAACTCATGAAATCATCTACTGAGTTTAAATTAAATTATCTACTAAGGTATAAGCTGAGGGTGTTGTAATCTGGGTCCATGGAAGGAGTTCTACTACTGATTAAAAAAAAGTATCTCTCTCTCAGTGCACATACATACTAAAGTGTTAGTGCTGGTTAGCTTAAGACACATATTCTCTGTGTGTGTGTGTGTGTAGAATTTCAGTCTTTCAGAAGAACACCAGTACTTAGCACTGGCAAGAGCATTAGATTTTATATTCAAGAACCTGGGTTCAAATCCCTTGAGCAAGTCACTTCATTTTTCGAAGGTTTCCTCATTTATAAAATGATGAGATTAGACGACAATAATCTCTCAGGTTCCTTCCTGCTCTTGATCCTAGAATATGTACCCAATGTTAAGAGGAAGCCCATCGTTTCCAATATGTTATCCTCGGGTACATACTAAGGGACTGTCTTCAAAAGCTGTATTTACAGCACTTCTGTCAATAACCATTTTCAAACGAGATCCAAATCAATCCTGTCTTATGGTGAATTCTGCTTTAAATTTCAAACCTTGTGTATTTGTTAACCTGTAGGTTCTCCCATCACTGACTTGCTCACCACTGGCAAAGCACGAACTGGGTCAGCAGTAAATTGGCGAAGATTTTTTAAAAATGCAAACACAGGCACCCTCACTCACTGTTGGGGGTCTATGAACTGATCCGAGCAGTCTGGAAAACCAGACCTCATACTGAGAAAGGGGCTAAATTGCTCACCGTCTTTGTCCTCAAGCTACCACTACCGGAGGTTAGAGACAGAGGCCAAGCTCCCGGGTACACCAACTATTCACAGGAGCACTTTCTGTAGGAGTAAGAGAGTAGAAATAAAGTGGATACCCACTGATTGGGGAATGACTAAAAAAAAATATGGCCTACTAATATAAAGGAATATTACTGAACCATAAGAAATCAGGAAGAATTTAGAGAAACTGAGGAAGACATACAAACAGTTTACTCATCTGTAAAACAGAAACAGCAGCACCTAATTTGTAGGGTTTCTGTGAAGGTCAAATGAGATAAAGCGAGTAAATACTACCACATTAATGCCAGCTCTCAGTATGAGTCAGTCAACAAGCCAGCAAACACGCATTAAGCACCCATGACGTGCCAGGCATGGTGCTAAGCACTAGAAATACAAAAGAGGCACAAGATGATCCCTACCCCGGAGCTCTCGTGGGGCTATAATGGGGGAAGCAACACGAACACAAGCACCAGCGAGCTACAGAGGAGACGGACAGGAAATCACTCGAGAGGGACGCCGCCACAGGGGGAGGGTGAAGAGGCTTCCCGTAGCGAGCGGGATTTGGGCTGGGACTTGAAGGAAGCCAGGGAGGCCAGGAGAGAGCAACGAGGAGGGGGACACTCCACAGAAAACTGCACAGATGCAGGGGAAGCCAGCCTCACCTCGTCCCTCTGGGAGGAGAGATGGTGGACTCCCCGGGCGGCCCGCTGCACGCCCCGGGTGCCAGGCACAGGGTCCGGGCCGAGACCTGAACTTCCTGGAGGATTCTATCAGGAGGAGGATGAATGTGGAAACGGCAGGAATGTATCTTCACCCCCAAAAGAGGAAAAGGATCTGGATTTTAATTTACAGAACGAGAATGTGAGCTTCGTGAGGGCGGAGGCAGTGTTTTTGCCTTTCTTGCGTTTATGAAGCGCCTACTGTGTGCCAGGGTTGTGCTAAGCGTGCCCAGAGCTCAGCAAAATGTTTGTGGGTGCTGATGGTTAGCCTTTTAGCTTAGTGCCCAGCCAGGAAAATGCACGTAGCAGGCGTGAACTTTTAACTCACCTGTATTCTAGACTCGGGAACATCCAGGCGGTTAGCAAGCTCGCTTCTGACGGAGTAATTAGGGTACGGGTTCTTATGAAATTCCCCCAGGAGAACATCCAGCTGAACTTCATTGAACATGGTTCGCTCCCTCTTTGCCCCTTTTTTACTGCTTGTCGAGGAGTCAGAGGTCAAGGCAGGTTCTAAGGAAGGGCAAAAGTTTAGGAGTCTTTAGAACAAGAATGTCTATCTGCTTAGCATGGAATGCAGATGAACCTATTTCTTGACATGCTGACTAACCTGTTAGAATGCAAGCTTCCTGAAGGCAGGGGCTGGTTTTGCCTATTTTTTCTTTAACCCTTCCCCAGTCCCTGGTAGAGTAAATGCCTGCTGATCGAATGACTGATCACACTTGGCACACAGGATTCACAAATGTCCCAGGCAGAACTGCCAGTTTAGAAGCAAACTAGGGATTCTTAAGAGGTGATGGGGAAGGGAGGAGATTCCAGACCCAGGGGCCCATGGGTGACAAAGCACGTCGTGGGCGGTACGCATGAGTAACACAGCAAGGTGGCCAGGCTGCCTAGGCCTCAGAACCTAGCGTCCTTCCCGACCGAGGGCCGCAGCCGCCATACAGGAGGTCTTTCCTGACCCTCTCCAGTGACTTTCCTGAGCCGTGACGCATTCCTCCTCCCCGCTTCACCCCCAGCCTGTAGCAGAATCCAAGTTCCTTGAGAGACTTCAGTCTATCTCCTGCTACATCTGACAATTAAGGCGAACTGAGAGACAAGTTCCCGGGCATGGTCAATCATCAGGTACGCTACCAGCACCAATAAGTTTTAGGCAGCGAAGCGGAGCAGTGGATGCAGCATCGGGCCGGGAGTCCGGAAGACCTGAGTCCAAATCCAGCCTTAGACACTTACTGCCTGTGTGACACGGGGCAAGTCATAGAACTTCTCTCTGCCTCAGTTTCCTCAAGTGTAAAGTGAAGATGCTAACAGCACCCAACTCCCAGGCTTGTTGGGAGGATCAGATGAGGTAAAGCCTTAGTACAGTGCTTGGCGCAAAGAAGATGCTTAATAAATGCTTCTTCCTTCCTTCTTATCCTATTGCAATCTGTGAACTATAAATGAATGGTTTTGGGGGCAGCTGGGTGGCGCAGTGGATAGAGTGCCAGCTCTGGAGTCAGGAGGACCTGCGTCCAAATCTGGCCTCAGACACTTGATACTTACTAGCTGTGTGACTCTGGGCAAGTCACTTAACCCCAACTGCCTTGCCAAAAAACAAACAAACAAACAAAATCTATAAATGAACAGTTTTGTTGATTTGAAAGACCCAGTTCAAATGCCACCAAGATAAGGTCTTGCCCGATCTCCACAAGTAGACACACTCCCTTCTCCACTCGGGAATGCCAACGCCCATCTAATATAACCAACACAATGAGATTCTGCCTCACTGAAGTTCTACACTTTGATTTCCTTTGCCCGCTTTTGTACATTCTGGAAAGCTCAGTCTCAGAAGTGGAATGAGACCTCAAAGACCACCCGCCGCAGAGGCCAAACCTCCTCTCTACCCCCAGCTAAACGGCAAGGATCTGTGAGCAGAACTTCTCAGGTGCTCTGCAGACACAACCTATTTCAAACCGGTAAGAGTTGGAGAAAACACACAGCACAAGATAAGAAGGGGATGGAAATAGATGGAGACAGGCTTCACAATCTTCCCCAAGAAAATCAGTTATAAGACTCAGTTTCAAATGGACTTCTCACTGCCATGGGGCTGGGGAGGGAAAGCAAGCAAGCGTTTGGGGGTAAAGCAGTTCAGCGAGGGAATAATAATGATGATGATGATGACGGTGACAGCTTGCGTTTACAAAGCACTTTAAGGTTTGCAATTGGCTTTACATATTTCATCTCACTTGATAAACATGAAAAATGAGCATCAATAAAACATTTTTTAAAGGCACAGAAGAAAAATGCAGAAGGGTTTACAAAGAGCAGTTTTGTTACTACATTACTGAACATAGGCAAAGTGCAGCTATTTTAAACAATCCTGGTATTTTTTTAATGTTCCTATTTATTAGTGTTTATAATTTTGTTTATTACTAAATAACAATTGAATTAAATTTAATTAAAGTTTACTAAGTTTACGATAAAAATGAAAGGAAACTGATGGGGTATGGACCCAAGCCGAGACCTTTGCCTCTTGCACTAAAAAGAATCTGGCTCCCATTTGCCTGTGGGCCCCAGAAAACCCTTAAACTTTTCTTACTCTTCCCCTTATCTCCCTTTGAAAGTCCTAGCCCCAACTTCTTCCTTCCAGTTCCCTTCATTATCTATTCAATCTCTCAGCCATTCCAATCAGAATTCTCCCTAAATCACCTAGACCCTTTTTCCAGCCCCTCCTCTGGTCACCCAAAATTACTTGCGTGTATATAAGATCCACCCTGGCCCCCATTTAAATGCTGAGACTTTCTCATGCCCACTCATCCCTACGGGCGCCCCCTGGCCTATACAGTTTATCTCCAATAAACTTTTTCTCTGGCTGAAAGAAGATTTGAGTTGCATTCATTCAGGTAGAGCCCAAAGTGTCGTGATCTCAAGGTCCCAGGATCCCTAACCTGTAGACCTCATCAAAACAAGTAAGCCTTTTGATCAAATTTGGACTTAGTAGCAGAAGACAAGCCAAGTAAGTTTCTAGTCTGAAGCTTCCCTCCTTAGCAAACTACTTATTTATGAAGAAATGAGCCTGCTACCCTGCATCCCTCAGAATTTCCCTTCAGTTACTTATGAAATCAAAACCCAAGAGAAGGCAGAACCGAAGCAACTTCCTTGCTCACCACCAGGCGAGGAGGAAATTTGGGCAGCTATGGTCTTGCAAGCTAACACCAAAACTTTTATTTTATCATTTTTTTTTACTGCCAACTTCACAATCAAACACAACTTTTCCATATACAGAAGGAAAAGGCTTGTATAAAAAACAGTGAATTTCTGCTATCTACAGTTTGTTTTATAAACATTTATTAAGCCTCAGCTTGTTCCAGACACCGTGCTAAGCACTTAACAAACACAATCTTATCTGAGAGGAAAAGCTATTTCAATGAGCATTTTTTTGTTTGTTTTTGAGGCAATTTCAAACTTCGCTTTTGAGTGGCTTACTGGAAAAACTGATGAATCAGGAAGACTGGAATTCAAATCTGACCGCAGACACTAGCTGTGAGACCATAGGCAAGTCACTTAAATGCTTTCTGCCTTGTTCCCTCATCTGTAAAATGGGGATAATTCTAGCACCTACCTCCCAGGGTGGTTTAAATGAGATAATATTTATAAAGTACTGCGGAAACCATAAAGCGGCAACCCAGAAAGCTAATATTCTGGAGGCAAACCGGAGCTCAGGAGCCCCCAGTCAACCACAGGGCCATTATTATGTAGGTGCCTAGTATTATTATTCATGTACCAGAGCAAGAGTTTAAGCCATAGAATAGCTGGGCCCCGAGGGGCCAACATTCCTGAGTGGGAAGTGGCTGGGGGAGGGGGAGGGAGAGAATTCGGCACGCTGAAAATGCACACATGCAGTAAATGCACACGCAGTAAATGCCCACACTCGAAGCCCATGCACTGTAATTTCATCACTAGTGGGAGCAAAATATAAGATTTCCAGAAGAAAGAGGCCTAAGAGTTGAGGCTGGGCTTCCAGGAGGGGGCAGAGAAGAGGAGGCAGTCAGATCCAAGCCACTTCAACCCCTGGTGAAGGGGATGATTCCACAACAGAAAAACCCAAGTCAGGGAAGGCCAGTTCATTCATTTATTCACCAGCCACTTAGTAAAGGCTGTTGAGGGGCCCATATGGCACCATGCAGCAGGCTGGGAAGAAATAAACACAGCCCTTGCATACTCTTGCACCCAATGAAAGAATGAAGAGGAAAAAGTCTCATGAACTCTAGAAATCCAGGTAACCCAGGCTATGGGTTACATGCCACCGTGCCGCCGATACCATAGAAAAACAGGCGACAAGTCACTGGGTCCAGGATGAGAAGGGCAAGTCAATACTCACCAAGCTTGGAGGGCTTCATGGTAGCTGGTCGGCTACGTGAGTGGGAAGTCTTTCTTGGCCTATAATGGAAGAATAAGCAGGAAGTTGTCACACCTTAGTCAATTAGGGAGTGGGAAGCAGGGAGTTACTGGTATTTATTCTTTTCCCTTAAGTGCCTCAGTTCCTTTTGTTTTTTTTTCCCCCAGAGGAAATGGGCTCATCCCTTCTTTCATTGGATAAACCTGATTATCACTGCATCTTGCTCTTTAAATCAGGGTTCTTAAAACTGGTTCGTGTGTCTTTTTGTGACCTCTGGCAGTCTAGAGAAGCCTATAGACCCAAGCTAGGAATAATGTATTTAAATGCTTAAAATTAAATGCACAGAATTACAAAGGAAACCAATTATCTTGAAATAGTTAATATCTTTTTGTAAATTCACAGACCCCAGCTTAAGCAACTTTGCTTTAAATGAACCTAACTCTGTGCCCAATTGAGCAAAGACCAGGCAAACAGCCTGTTTCCCTATATTTTCTTCCTTTTTGTCACTTTCCTATTTTCATTATCGGTCCAATAAAAAATTACCCTCCAGAGAGCCATTTGTCTTGCATTAGAACTTAGCTCTGCATCTATAATGTAGTGAGCACTTATTCATTTCTTGCAGGTGGCCAATGAGGGCTTTTCCCTGTGTCTCTCCCCTGTCTTTATACTAAATCATATCTGATGGTAAGACAAAGGTGCCCTGGGCCACACGACTACAGTTACTTCTATTAATCATTAATATGACCCAAAACTTCAGATATCATCTTCATGGCTGGGGGCATTTCTCTGCAAAGAAACTGGAGGGATTTTTTAACCACTTAAAATAATTAAAACTATAAAGTATTAGTGTTAAAGTAGGGTTTAAATCCCTGCCACTTAATGTCTAAAATGTTGTCAACCCCAGCATATTCAGGGTTCTCTTTGTACCAGACAAAAGGTCTTTTCCACTGTGTCTGGAAGAACAATTTGCTTTTCTTTTTTCACAGTTCAACATTCCACAAAGATGCCAGAATTTCAAGCGAATCTTTCGATTGCTTGGGGGCTCCTTTTGGCTAAAGTCTAGGAGACTTGTGCCTTGTGAAGGCCCAGGTGAAGCTTTGCTCAACCATCAGAGAATTAAGCAGACCTGATTGATACTCCAAGAAACACCATTTTCACAAGGCTGGAGATGTAATCAAGACAGTCTCGAACAGTAGAGGGGAAAAAAGCATGATCTGTGAATGACTAAACTCAGCTAAACTCAGCCAGCACACATGCCATCTCTGCCCCGCTGCTTTTCCAAAACTGCCCGGATGGTAAGGCTTCTCTCCTGCCTGAAATTACTTTGTGTTTCCCTATCTGGGCACTGCGACTTCAGGAAGAAGAGCTTAAACCCATCCAGGGTACGGATTGTTTCTTCTCTTCATTCAACAAAGCTTTATGAAACACCTTTCCTTTTGTGGAAGGCCTAGTACTACTTGCTGGGCATACCAAAGACCAAAGCAAAATGACTTCCCAGCACTGGATAGCTGCCATCTGGCTCAGGTTATTCCAGTCTGTCATTCCGCTATTAAGCATCTAGTACGTGCCACACATTGTGCTGGGTGCTAAGGGCACCAAGAAACGTCCCTGCTCTGGGGGAGCTCTGGGTTTGATGAGGGAAACAACATGCAAAGGACTCTGTACAATCTACACTCTGGATCAATTAGACATAATCAAGGGGGCTCCCTGAGAAAGGCTCTCTGTAGACATGGCATTTTAGCTGGGATTTGAAGGAAGCCAGGAAAGCCAGGAGGCAGAAAGGAAGACGCAGAGTATTCCAGGCCTGAGGCATAGACGGTGAAAGGAAATCAGTGATCCTGGTCTACAGAGCAAGCTGTAACATGAAGGGTTGCAAAGGGTACAGTCTAAGAAGCCTGGCCAGGTAGTAGGGAGGGTTAGGTTATGAACGGCTTTGAACAGCAAACAGAGGGTTCTGTATTTGCTCCTGGAGGTATAGGGATGGGAGTAACACGTAACCAATGTGAAGAACTAAGTTGGGGAGAGATCATGAAAAGCTTTAATGCTGCAGAAAGGAGTCTGGATTGTGTTTCTGGGAGCTATGGGAGCTTACTGAGTCAGGAGATAGCACAGTCAGACCTCAGCTTTAGGAAAACCAATCTGGCTGCTGTGCAGCAGATGAATTGGGGAAGGCAGAGGCTTAAGTAAGGTGGTGAATTAGGAAGCTACTGTGATACTCCAGGTCAAGAAATGATGAAGGCCTCAATTAGACTGACATTGCTATCTGAGCAGACAGGAGTGGATAGACGCAAGCAGGGTATCCTGGTAAATAATGTTTAACAACCAGCTGGGAGAGGTCAGGAAACATTTTAAGTTTTATCTTCATTATTAACAGTTTCTCCATCAGTTTAAGTCTAGACAGTCAACAAAACAATAAGTCAAGCCAATTTCAGAGGGGTAAATGCTGAAATTTAACAGTCAGCTCTCCAAAGTTGATAAGCTGGTTCTTGCACACCTCTGGATACAAGAGACTTTGTAATTGAAGAAATGACGATATAGTTGACCACTGACCAGATACGTGGGCTGAGAGAGAAAAGAGTCAAGGATGATTTTAAAGTTGTGAACCCAGGTGGTCAGAAGAATGATGGCAACGTGGACAGAAAAGAGAAATCTGAAAGAGAAGGACTTGGGGGGAAAGATAATGAATTTTGTTTTGGACATGCTGAGTGTGAGATGTCTACAGAACACTGCGTTTGAAATGTCCAAAAGGTACCTAGAGGTGTATAACTAGAGCTCAGGGGAAAGACCAGGGCTAAATCTATACACCTGGGAGTCATCTGTATGGACATGACAACTGAAGCCACAAAAGCCATGCCGGGCACTGTGTTAAGGGCTGGAGATAGAAAGAAAGGCAAACACACAATCCCTGCCCTCAGAGAGGTCAGTCACATTCTGAGGGAGGACAACACACAAAGAAGTATGTACAGAAGTATGGAAGAGAAGGTCATCTGAGAGGGAAGGAACTAGCTGTGTGTGTGTGTGTGTGTGTGTGTGTGTGTGTGTGTGTGTGTGTGTGTGTGTGTGTGTGTGTAAGGAGGGGAAAGGTCTCTTGCAAAAGGCGGGCTATGAAGAAAAGCCAGGGAAGCCTGGAGGTAGAAGTGAGGAAAGAGAGCCTCGTAAGCGTGGGACACAGACTGTGAAAAAGCACAAAGATTGCCCGGACGATGCTGAGCCAGTGCCTGGCCCTAACCCCTGACTGACTGGGAGACGGGGTGGCCCGTCTGAGGAGCAGCAGGAAGACCAGTGTCGCTGGGTCCCAGGACAGGAATAAACCATGAGAAGACTGTACAGGCAGTAAGGGGCCAGACTGGAAGGCTTTACAAGCCAAACAGAGGATTCTTCTGTTTGATCTGGGCATAAGAGGAAGCCACTGGAGTTCATACGGTCAGACTTGCACGCAGGAAGATCACTTTGGCATCCGAGTGGAGGATGAACTTGGGTGGAGGGCCTGAGGCCAAGAGACCAGTAAGAAGGCTATTGAAACAGTACAGGCTGGAAGAGATGAAGGCCAGCACCAAGGGGCACCTGTGTGAGTAGAGAGAAGACAGACAGAAGAGACGGTGGGAAGGCAGAAGGACAAGGCTGGGCCACAAACGGGAGGGAAGGGCTGAGGATGACAGCAGTGATCTGGAGGAGAGAGGAACCCTCAAAAGTCATAGGGAAAGGGAGCCAGAAGAGGGCAAGGTTTGAGGGAAAGATAATGACTTTGGAATGCCTATGAGTCATCCAGTTTGAGAGGTCCATTAGGCAGGTGGGAGACTGGTGAGGTTACAGCTGGATAAATAGATCTGAGAATCATCTGCATAGATGATACCTGAATCCATGAATACTGATAAAATCACCAAGCAAGAAGATATAGAAGGAGGAGAGAAGAGGGCCAAGGACAGAGACCTTGCATTTCACTTGGGAGATGGGGAGATGATGGGAAATTTAGATAAACAAATTTAGATAAGCAAATAACCCAAAGAAATACAAATGATTGCACTAACAACTTGGTGGGGGTAGGGTGGGGGGGAGACTACTTCAGCTGAGCCTTGAAGAAAGCTAAGGGTTGTGAGGTGAAGAGGGAGTACATTCCTAGCATGGGAGACTGCTTAAGCAAAGTGTCCTACCTGCTAAGTCAAGTTGGGGTGGGGTGGGGGGATAGTAGATAGGGAGATCTTAGACAAGCTGCACATGGTCCAGGGTAAGCTCCTGGGACTCACTTCCTCACAATCTTAAAAAAAAAAAAACCACAGGGGCTTAATCAATTCCTTGGGTTTTGGAGATCCCTCATTACCCACCTGAGTATCTGAGTGTCCCCCATTTACTGGGTCACCCACAAATGCACCTCTTTTGAGTGAGGCCCAGAACAGACTGCCATACTGGAAGACCTCAAGCGGGCCCTTCTGCCCCTGGAAGCCCATGTTTTTGGAGGTCTCTGTCCATAAAGGTCAGGCTGAGTGGAGATTTGGCAGGGCCCAGGATGGCCAAACCAAATATGCCAGAGGAGCACAGGATCACAGGCAATTAAAGAAATTAACTCTGAACTTAATAACAAATAAAATTAGCATTTCCATATACAAAGTAGAACTGAAAAATAGGGTAATAAATGAAACTGCAAATCTCCATTAGGTACAGCTTTCTTCTGCTTTTATGTATAATAGGGATTTGAAAACTGACTGGCTTGGGATGTGTAGTTCATAGAGACAAGCATTCCTACTTGGGACTACCAAAATATTTGAGTCAGAAGGTGGAATGGAGTCCTACCCCAGAGTTCTTAAAGAAATACACACGGTTTGGGAGACACAGACTGAGAGGACGTGATGAGGACCCCAGGAGCTGAGCAGCAGCAGCAGCAACAATGAGGTGAGCCTCGCTGGGCCCCGCCAGAACTCAGTGAGCTCGGCTGAACAGGAACAGTTACGGCTGAGCTGTCCATCAGCCAGCCCTACAGGCATCTCAAGTGGGAGATCAGTGGAAGCTCTTCAAGGACTGAAGGAGGTTCCAGGAATCCCGGGGC